GGTATTATTGTCATTTATTAAAATAAGCATCACAACAATGTCTTATGAGAAACATAGTGCAGAAATATTCCTCTTAATCCAAACTTAAATCGAGCTATCGATAGTGCAATGGATGGTATCAAAAGCAACTGCTTTGTGGTAATGGATGGTATCAAAAGCAACTTACTGTTGCTTTTGATACCATCCATTACCACAAAGTCAAAAAACTTACCATTTCAGTCAGAAAACTAAAAATGCAAGCAAAATGCTTGCTGATTTGAGAGTAAACTTACTTTTCCTAAAGTTTGAGCAAATATTTCGGGATGAAGTTTCCCAACACAAACATTCCGTATTTTCGTTCCCGTATCCGGCTGAAAATGGCAAAATGCAATAATAACGAGGGGTAGGAATTTCTCGGGATGAAAACCTATGCTGAATGAATTAGTAATGACTTACATTAAGTTCCAAAATATTATCATACACCGAAAGAACTCCCTTAAGTGACGAAAGTCCAATATCACTATGATCACGATGTCCATGCAACTCAATAGTTCGAAGAGTCTGAAACGTTAATATAAGTAAAAGTAAGTGAAAAATAGACTATGTAGCCATGATTACGTAACTTTTGATCGACTACAATGCATTTTACTATGAATAAAGCATGAAGCATGACTTTTTTTCAAAACATATCTTTTCCAACCAATATATCCTTTGCACTTCCAGGCATATCAGCAACGATAAAAGTGATCTTCATGAATTTTTTTTTTAAAGATTTTCGAATTATTCTTCCTTTATTCTTATTAATAAAACAAATTAGTTTAATTATCAAATACCAATATAAACAGGTATAAAAATACTGAAATCAATAAAAGCGACTCTTTTTGAAAACCACTTCTGTAAAATGAATTAATTGAAAAAAAAAAACAAACATACGTCTGGATGTAAGCGAACTCGCTTTGTTTTTGTTGTCGAAGGTATCGTAAAGGTATCACCATAACGAAAAGTAGCCCGCGCATTCTACAAACAAAAATTTAATTTATTTCGGAAGCTTTTTCATAATATAATATTCGAACTAACGCCAAAAAAGAAAGTTCAAGGTATAAACTTTCTCGAAACAAAGATTTGTTGAAAAACACAAAGTGACTTACAGCAAAACAAAATTAGCTACATAATTTACAATTATTATTGTTGATATCATAACCATTATTACAAAAACTGTTTTCGACGCATATGAGAACCGACTACGTAAGCTACTAAATGAAATAGTATAAGAAAGAAATACTTACATATGCAACAACAAAATCGGTACGCTGATGAATTTGGTGGAGGCTGCGTATAAACTTCAGGCATAACTAAAAGCTTTGGAGCTAGATCCGGCAGTATTGAAGGATTAAGCTGTGAAAAATCCAGCCTTGTTTCAATTGGAAAGAAAAAGGCACGTATTGAAAGTTTTTCATATGGTCCATATACATTTTGGATTGGATAATCTGGATCTAAAACGGAAGTTTTCTGACGGAATCTAAAAGCTTCCAAATGTATAACTAACATACAACGTACCAACCAATATGTGCTTTATAATAAATGGTTGTTATTCTAAACTACCTAAAAGAAAGTAATGCGTAATGCTGAATATCTAAGCAAATCTCACTTAGCTTTTTCATTTTTTCAAATGATCAAATCGAACATTCAAAAATGCCGAAATTTTACCTGTCATAATCAGTGCATTCTTTGAATCATTCCCCCACATTTCCAAAAAATGTACAGCATTGCCAATCCGTAACGAAGGATGTCCAGTGAAAATAACACATGGAGTTCGCATTTGTCGACAGAAATCACCGTAAATATTATCGTAAACTTTTAATCGACCATTTCTCGTTGTCTGAAAAAAAAGTGAAGTTTCAGAACATTGTTCGAATAGCATTAGCTAAGCATAAATTAAAATACATTGCTGTATGCGGATGATAGAAGTTCCTAAATAGCATTTAACTAAGCAACTCATTCATCCTATTTACATTGCGATTTCAATTATCAGTACAATAAAATAAAAACCATACACAAATAAAAAATAAATTAGCTAACAGTTAACAACCCCCCTATTTAGTTTAAATCGAAAAAAAATTTTTTTATATAAAATACATACCAATCCATGTTTAAATGGCTCTTCCGGTATATTCACCATATTTTGCTTCTTTTCCGATAACCATTCAGCATAAATATTTGAATATGCTAAGGTACTTTCAGCAACCGGTGAAATGAAATATACGGGAACATCTACTGGTACATCGTGCTTGAAATAGTCTATTTCAAAAAATTAAATTTGATGAATATCAAAAAAAATTCGAAATTACTTCAAAAAACACACCGTAAAAGTAATGCTAGTAATTTCATTCAATCGTACCAGTTATTTTACCTGATCTAACTGCATCGAAATAACTTCAAGCAAATCATACAGTACACCCGTTGGGCAAATTGGCATCAACACAGAACCATTTCTCTTAAGTGTATCGGCGATAACAGCAAACGCGTGGCACACCTTAAATTAACGAAAAAAGCGGTGAAAACCTCTAAAACTCCGGCAAGTACAATTCTGCCTGATGCTAAGTCAGTGATTTGTTCGCAAATCCTTGGACTTGGTAAATTAATCAGAAAATTTGCAATAAAATTTTAATTTAAAAACGTCACTAATTCAAATAAATGTTGAAAAGAAAGTCAAATTTCGAACATTTACGAAACTTTGCACTCTTCTGCAAAATCTATCCTCACCACTTTGTGTTTGTTATCCTAATGAATGACCCATGCAATATATTTTATGCAAGGTGTTCAAAACGTTGATGGAGTATGATTTAAGGCAAGCGATATGCATTTATAATATAGTTTTATTTTTTTGTTCCTTTTATTTTGCCACGCTTTTCAGTGCCTTAAATCCTGTTTTCATTTAACCGAGTAATTACTTTTGTGTACTGCTGATCAGAAACCAAGCAGTGTTGCATGACAATATAAGCGGGAATACCGATGAATTGAGAAAATGTTATACGCTGAGTAACAACAAACAAAACTCACCGATGTCTCAGGGCTGTGTTCTGGAAAGCGACAAATAGAAGTCAATATAAGAGCATCGCAACCACGAAGTTGATCCCATTGAACCGGTTTTGTATGTGAATTTCTTGAGGATGTTGCTGATAAATAGCCTATCTTAAAGCATTAAAAATACTTTCAGAATGTATACAATTACGCATGCCATCGAGAGTCATTAACGTAAAAACTTATGCATCTAATTATAAAGTTACAATTCGAACATTGAATACTCGTAAAATCCTGTCACTCAGAAAAAAGAAAAAAAGAAAGGCTAATTCAGACGGTTTAAATCATTAAAATGAAAAAAAAAAATAGATTGGAACAAATGCATAGTCTGATATGCACTTGTAATATAAAAATAAACGTCCAAAAACCAATCTATATCCTTTTCATATATACAAATAGGACATATTAAGTCTTACAAGAAATGCATATGCAAATGATTTGAAAACAAAATATATTAATAACACAGAATTGAATTGAATTTTATAGAAATGCATACTTTTTCATGTTCAGTACGAACAATCCAGTTACATGATCCTATTGAATAACCACTTGAATATGCCGCAACCGTTGCAGCACCGTGAATGTTCTATAAAATCAAATCGTCATATTAGCCATTTTCAAAATAGGCAGCAAGTAAGGTTTATTTCAAATTCTATCAGATCACCGGTGACTGTCTAGTAATATTAAGTGCATAGTATCCTTCCATAGTAGCATAGTCGTATGCCAGAAGGAAGGCCGTCTAGTAGTATGCGTATACAAAATCATTTAACCCAATCAGTACTTGGGATATCATTGTATTGCGATCAAACAACTCTAGACATTTAATGCACAATCTTGTTCTGAATAGATTGGTTCGATATGATTTTAATCATCCATGATTTCCTTTGAACAATCCATCAGCATGTGAGAGAAGATGCAATGCACTTTAAAAGGTTCATCATGCTTTAAAAATATTGTTGCAAATTCCTTCTCTACATTCTGAATGGATGTAAAGATCAAAAGCCAAAGAATCTTTTAAACTTACAATAGGTTCTCGAAATGATACTCGTTGTACTTTTGCCAAGCAATTTTCCATTTGTTCACGACTGTAAAATGGCCTCCATTCACGTGGATCACTTGCTGGAACATTAGGGAAACTCCTGAAAACTGAAGTACATAAATTTAAGGGATGAAACGGACAGGATTCCGTTCCGGTATCAAATGATTACTTCACTACTATTATATAGAGCTAACAATCATTGTCACAATATTTTAAATACTGGAAAAAAAAGCTTTTATAAATTAGGGATTTCAAAAAATAATGCGAGGATATCGTATGCAAAAGAAACGGATAAACAAAGGAAACAAAGAAAACTTGCGAAGGACATACATGAACAATCCTGGTTTCTTCCATGAATAGTCCCACTCCTCTCGATCAACTCGATCAAAGAAATCCAGTAATTCTTCCATTACTAATCTTTAAAAATTCAACAACTAATAACAGTCAAAGGATACCACTTCATATGATTTATGCTGATTGTTCCCAACATATCTTCCTATTTTGCTTCAATAACCTCATAATCAAAACGTCACTTCAAGTTTAATTTTAAATAAAATGATTATAAGTCATCCATCGATTATTATTTTAATACCTTCCAAGTTGAAGTGTTGGATCAGTTGCATAAATAACACCGCTGAAATTTGTTTCTTCCGTAAAAAATGGCAGCGCAAGAAGAGACATCCAATTTGACACCAATATTGCATCTACAGAATTCATTAGTGTAGAACAAATCTGAAAAACTACAGTTTTGTCAAAGTAATCGAAAACTGACAATAACATATGAAACAAATGAATAAAAAGACTGAGTTCGCATGGAAGAAGTTAATTTTGACTTGAAATAATTTAGCTAATAATGTAATAGGAAAAAGAAATGGGATGAGAAAACAATATTACCTGTGCAGGATGTACTTCAAATGGTCCATCAACAAGAACATGCTCGCCATATCGTTTAAGACAATACTTCGGCTCATTTTTTGGATACATTGGTAAGTTTGAAAAAAGTTTACTGAAATATGAAAACCACATCGTAAGTAATATTAATTAATAAAATATTGATAAAAATGTATAAGTATGAATTTTAAGAAAATTGCTGATTGGTGTGAATGTAATGAGAAGGTAAAAAATGTACGTTTTAAAATGAAGGATAAAAAAGAATAATGATATTAATAATAAAAAAAAGTGAGAAAAAAACATGTAAATACTAAAAACCTTTCAAAAAATAAAACAAAAAGGCAAAACAAATGAAAAGCACAAAATGCAACCTTTTACAAATTGCAGCTGGAAGGAATGATGAAAGGGCATCCATATCAACGGCACAATCTAACAGTATGCTAGCTGATGTCCACTTCAATAATAAACATGGCCGATATGGTTGAGGTGATAACGGTATCTGTAAAAAAATCTCGTGATCAGTTGTCGTATCAATTGAGTTTAACTTATTAGCTACCTGCATATGTATTTGCATCATTAATCCTTTTAACAGTCCTATCAAATGATCCTAAAAAGTTTGAAAATTTTTATGAAACGTAATGATCAGATAAATCAGTCATCCATTATAACTTTATAACTTCTTAAACAGATAGAATAAAGCACCTGATCTTTTTGAGTGATCGACTAATACTTAATTAGGGGAATTCTTGTCATACTCAAATCATAAGATACTAATTTACTGGACACATCCGTTTTTATCTTCACTCCTCTATACCAATAAACTTGATTAGTTATGCCAATGATAAATTAGTGATAAGAAAATGCTTACCAACTCCATTGTATCGAACCGTTAATTTTTTTTTCTTTTTGATGATAAATATTATTTTGTTGTCGATAGTTTCTTATAAAATTTTTACATAAATTGAAATCCTGCAAAAAAAGAAATCGAAAAAAAAAAACTGCAAGTAACATTCAATCAAGTATTATCAGTACAATTCAAAATACAACATGTTATCTTCTTATTTTAAATAATTTCATTTTTGAAGAAAACAACTTTTACTTTTAAAATTTAACAACTCTTAGCAATATATACTACTTCTGAATTTATTTTATCCCACAAATGATTTGTTTCGTAAAAGTTTCATGAAATTTAAAAATGTTAAAATTTAATTTCATTGTAGTGCTTAAATTTTGCCAACAATTTATATCATATTCCTAACAACATTTATTGCTTTTGTTAGAAGATCTCATACTTCTTCTAATCAATAAAATATTATCATTAATTTAAATGTTAATTATCACTTCATATGTGGGAAATTGAAATCGGAAATAATCATTATTAGCAAAATTAATCGTTGACAAATTATTTCATTAGTAAAACTAACATTTATAGAATTCTTGAGCGGCAAAATTCAGTTACTAATATGAATTAGAATTGTACTGCTTCTAATTATCACATATTCCCTTCATAATCCGGAAAAAAAAACCAACCCACGCATTCCTAATACCATTTCAAAAAAATGTTTCACTTGATCAATCGCATCTCGAGTACAAACCCACCATGAATGTATGTCAAGAGGAATGATATGGTGGTATTGGCGGCATTTGGTTGTTCCATTTGCGCTTACTTGAGATATGCATGCTTCGTTATTGCTTGCTTTTAATCGGTATACAGTATTCCAAGTTTTACCACTAATTTTATCTGTTATCACCAAACTTGATATCTTTTTTATCAGTCTTAATTTCATTCCTTCCTATCATTATTCTAGTTTACCAACTTTCATTCCTTCCTAATTTAATTTCACTTTTTTTTTCTGCTTATGAATATTCATGTGTAATCATCAGTTTTGTTTTCAATTCAATTTTTGTTTGTTAAAATTCTAAAAATTTTCATAACTATTATCATTTGCATATTGTTTGCTTCTTTTTCCAATTTAATTAATATTATATTTTAATCTATTTTAAATTTCACTTCATCTTTCTACTTTTAAATATCTCTTTGATTTACAATTCAATTATTGATACAAATCCGACTTTGGTTCCGTTTTATTTTATTTTTTTCTTCATGAAATATTTAACAAATTTCTATGGAAAAGATTTAATTTGATAACTGTTTAATTTTACCGATTGATTTTATCGTCGATAACTCTATATGTATTCTATAAAATTTATGGGTTAATTAATTGTCAAAGTAAATTAATCGGCTTTTGAAGTAAGATTGATGGGTTAATTAACTATCAAAATAAGTTAATCAGTTATTGAAGTAATTCGTGAAATATTCCGAATTTTTTCAAATCGTTCAAAATCTCTCGTTTTCCAACAATTCTGGTCCAGTTTGATTTTTACGAACCGTTCAATTTTGAGTAATTAGCGAAGGAAATGCCACAGTATAGATAAACTGTCATTTTGTCATTCGTGTCATATGGACAATGTATCAAGGCTGATCGTTGACCTAGAATGTTTAATCAAACTAGCGGATGAATCTAATTTGAAACGCTAAAATAATTGGAATAAGAACTGGATATATAGAACTGTAATATTGTATAGGTATTGAGTGTCAAATTATGGAAACATTTCAGATGACAGCTTTGACAATATCGAGAACTTCACGACTATTACGCTTAAATCCTATTTCGGATTGCGGTACTGGTAATATGCTGCGTGAATTTCAAACATTCGCAAAACTTTGTGCAAGTCATCGACGGCCAAAAACAAACATTGACATTGAGATAACTGATGATGGCTTACCGAAAGATTATCGATTACAAGTTTTGAAGGTGACCAGTCGGCGACTCGATTCTATTGTTTCCAAGGCAATCGGACAAGGACGAGGGTTCGTATTCTGTCAGTCTTTTTCGCTTGTCTGGTTACTTTTTTATAAGAATAATTGATTAAGTTTAATTTTAAATTAAATAGCAGTTTTGTTTACTTGACTAGCTGCTTCTGTTTTCACGAGTAATATAATTACAAATGATGTGACAAATATTCTAGAGAGTAGTGCTAGTGTTATTATGCAAAAAGTAGCATGAGCTAGTATTAATTAAAATCAGTTTGACCAAAATCAGGCTTTGAAATCAGTTGAAGGATGAATTAATTTCAGGCAAGCTGAAAAGCTGATTCTAACGGGTAGAGTACAGATAAACGAGGAAGACATACCGAAAAAAGCAGCTTATTATGTAAGAACTTGATCTTCTTCAAATCAATACTGTTTATCAAAAAATTTTTCAAAAACTCACGCATTTAGGGACATTTTTCTGTGAAAAACCAAAAAAGAAAAGTGAAGTTTCCAATTAAAAGGAAAATATGCTGGACTTAATTATATTGTGCTACTTTTAACAAATCGTTGTGGTTGTTGCTATTCTATTCAACGTATATTATCATTCTATCAAATTTAACGATAAATTTTATTGAAGGGAAAAGATTTTTCTTAGAAATCGAATGGAAATAATATGTAATGAACTATAGGTACAAGAGAACGATATAATCGACATCTGGAAACAACCAGTGGAAGGTAACAGTAAATTTGCTGAAGTTCATAGAATCGAAATAATCAATTATGCACTAACTGAACAGGGCTATGATATCAATCTGAAGTCATGGAAAAACTTTTATGTACAAAACTGGCGTAATAGAAATTAATCTGTGATGCTCATTGAGCAATACGGAACTTCCAGATCGTTGTTCCGTGTACAGCATAAATGAAAAACTTTTTTATCATGTCTTGTAACACTAAAAAAGTTCCCTACGAAATTTTCACAAATATCTTTGATGACTTATTCCTAACTTTTACTAGAGCCTTTCAGAACTGTTATGGCTATAAGAGATGATCACTTAGATCCCTCATCAGAAATTCTATTAATCCTTATTTCCTTTAATATTTCCAAATCTTAATAACAGATTTCTACAATGCAATAATGTTCACCCCGTAGATGTTATGTATTTTATCTGTATTTTTTGCACCGCCATGTCTTGCTTTATTTCACTATCTTATCTCATTTTAATGTATTTTAGATTCCTCAAAGGTTTGTTCGTTTTTGTGGTTAGGGATTTCCATTATTCTCATATAATGCTGATTTAAAAATTAAGACTTTTCCTAAGTGCCTAAGGAAATGAATAAATAGGATTATTGTAAATACTAATGGTTTTCTGACTGACATTCAAAATCATGAATATGTAAAGCTGTTTGTACAAGCGGTTAGTAACAGTAGAAAAATAAGAACTATGCTTTCACTGAGATTGTAAAGGAAGCTGAGAAGTCATATTTTGAAAGAGTAAAGAATATCCTTAGTAGTTTCACTATCACCGGTCTCGATATTACGAACCGAGAAGCATAATAACTCAAGCGATTTTTTAATGCTACCGCTGAGATCCTATGGCATTCGTGTCCCACTGTAGATTACTTGATTCGGTGCTATACATTGTTTACCTCAATGATTGTTAATAAAAATATTAGAAGTTTCAATAATTCACGAACGAAATTATATGAATGAAATAATTTGTTCATAGAAACTATACTGGACAGCATAATTAAAGATCACTATAACTTTTAATCTCCCATCAACTGTTGTCATCAATGAAGTTATTTAACGCTTTTCGCAACAGCGTTTCGTCATTACGTAACTGATGACGGCATTTCTGAAATATAATGAATCAATCTGGCATCACCGGATTAACGAATTCTAGAAAAAAAGTGTAGCTCTGTAACTGTCCCATCTTAATGCAACATATATTGAAAGAATTTTGGAAAATGAAACCATCATTAGAAAACGAAAGGAATGTGCATATTCACCTTAAGATGTTCCCATTGCTCCACTAAAGTCGAGAACTTCATCGCCACTTCATTTACAATCTTCTTCCTTGCTTCATCACATTCGATTTGTCGAGATTGCAGTGCCTTTCGTGCTTCCGCAAGCTGCTCATGCACAGAGAGCTGGAATTGCAATTAAAACCTTCTGAGTTTGCTTTACTAAAGAAAAAAAGAAGAAACAAAAAACAAAGAAAAAGAAGATGTCATCAAGAGATTAATAACGATAGTAATGATAGAGCAGTAATTTGATTTCCATGTAAATAAGAAATAAAGGAAAAAGAAATCTAACAATGAGAAACCCTTACTTTTCCATTGCGGAGAGCATGCAAGCTGTCAAGTTCATTCTGTGCCACATCCACTTCCAGCGACAGTTTTTGACGCTCATCTTCCCAATCTTCGCGTTTTAGCGTAAAATCATGAGACTGAAAATTTATTACAGTGTTGGCCCAATTCTAAACAAATTTTGGTGCAACTATATTAGAAATACATGAAAATAAAACATACTATTTTTGAAATCTGTCGTTGAACATGCTTCAAATTTTCTACCGAAAGTGCTTTCTTTTGTTTCAGCTCAGTCGTATCCTGATTTGTGGTTACTAGTTTATCTTCCACATTCTTGATCCAGTCGCTAATTTTGTTGCTAAGTCCATTCAGCTTTTCCTGTAAATAATTGTAAATAATTTATTCATTTTGGTTTCTCTTGTGTCAGTTACCGATGAAAAGTCGTGTTAATATACATGAAGAAAAAGGAAGAATTCTTAAAGTAGAACATCAATGAAACAAAGAAATTAAAGATCAAGACTAACACAACAGATATAATTGAATTTAACACTTTAATAGTATTGTTCCCAACATTTTTTGTTTTTTGTTGTTATTGTCCTCGTGAAGGTAAATATAAGAGAACTTCTGATTATTTTGGTGAAGTTTACTTTTAACAAAACTCATAGAAAGAGATTTCAGAAATTTGATACAATTATTAGGCAAAAGTGAAAACATAGAAAAAATATGCACCTCAATTTCGTTCAGAAGTTCAACGAAATGAGGCTCATTCGGAGAACGTTGATCCAGCACACCAAAGAATGGATCATAAGTCCCATACACCGTTCTGCTTACATCCTCGAAGGTCCTGACAAATAGTCGATAACGTTCACGTAACTGTAATACTTTGCAATGGTATAACAAAGTTAGATCTTATACAGCAACAGGAAATCCCTTCTTCCAACAAAATTTTTAAAATTGATACAAATATTTTCAAGTGTTTGATATGATTAGCAATAAGGAGATCTGAAGGAATATTTTGATGAACTATCGTAATACTATACTAAATGAACTATCGCTGTAGGCACGGGAGATATAAAGTTTCCATTCAAATCTATTTAATATTGAAAAAAGTCAATGTATAGTGATTTTTCCCTTCAAATTCTACCTCAAAACGATATTGTCATCTTTGACATAACACAGATAGCTTTCGCAAAAATTAAAAATCAAGGAACAAACCTGAGAAGCTTCTTTGAAATTGACGGAGAGAATTCCATCATTTTCGGATTCAATATTTTGTCGCTCCTTATTTGCTATTTCAATTCTAGCTTTCAACTAAAAATTTGTCTTTATTAAATGAAAACTGCTAAAAGTCATTCATTTCAAATCATTGTCAGTATGACGATTCACTTTTTCAATAAAAGTTCATCTTCATATTTACTCAGCGTCCATCGCATCATGGACCACTGGCAGTAGACGATAACTTTCAAGGTGTTTGAAGGGTCGCTTCCATATCTCTCCCGTATAAAAGCAGTTGTAGTAAAACTGACCTCTTCTTTTTTAACGCGAAGAGCTCTTGCTTCTTCACCGGTCATTGACTGCGCTGCTAATTGCTTTTTTTTGGCAGAAAGTTTTTCTTTAAAAGTAGTAATGATTACACCACATTGCTGAATCTTATTTTCCAAAATTTCCTGTAGCATAATTGCATATTTAAACAACAAGCAAATGAGCGTTATTTATCAAAAATAAGCATTTTATCTACAAATTATTAGAAATTAAGTGGTAAAGTAGTAATCTTAATATACATGGAGCGTAAGATATTTCATAAGAGAGGCAAAAATTAACTTTTTCTTTTTTTCTTCATCAAGTTTTTCTTGTTGCTCATCCCTAAATATCTGCAGCTTCTTCAAATCCTCCTCCAGTATTTTAGTGCTTGTTTGAAGCTCATCAAGCTCTCCCTGAAATATATTAAATCGGTATACCAGTAGATGTGGGAAATTTAATTTTAAATTTCCAAATTTATTATCGGCAATCTCAGTGTTTACCCTCACCAAGCATTTGATAAAGTTACATTAAAACCAGAGCTTCTGAAGAAAATGATTAAAAATAAAAAAGCAAGAAAAAAAACATGGTGTGGTTTGTACTCAAAGTTTTCGGAAGAGTTAAATTAGACTAATGATAATGGATATCTAATAGAAATACATAATACGCTGAAAACATGCCTTATCCTTACAGAGCTCTGCAATTTCATCTGTTAGTGTGACAATCTGGGCATGTGATTCAGCTTCTTGCTGCGCGATATCTTCGTTTTCTTCTAAAATTCATAAGTAACGAATTCCACTCGCTAGATTGAGAATCACAAAATGCTTCAACTCGGATATTATGAAAATTTTCAAACTCTATGTGATTAGGTCCCAAATGTAAATCATTAGAGATCTAAACATTGAAATGCCTGTCGCCTGTGTATTTTAAGATTTGCATGTGTGAAGAACATTTACGAGTGGGGTAATTCATTTCGAACAACGAAAAGATTATATAAACAATTGTAAATGGGTTATATCAAAATTAAAGTTAATTCGTATAGACTTACCAATAAGTTGAAGGAGGACATTATTCTCATCTTTGTAATTGTCCATTGTGAGTCCCAACAGTGGATTATTGCAGTATTTCTTATAACATCGAACTATATAACCATAAGCTAACTAAAGAAATTAAATGAAATTCAAAGCATTGTAAGAAATTATCCATCATATCAAGCTTTGATACGCTTTCAATACAAAATACGTTTTAATAGTTTAAAAATTAAGATAAAGGAAAATCTAGCTTTTCAGACATGACCCGGTAAAAAGGAATTGCTCAACTGATGACAACTGGTTTTTTTTCTTAGCTAGTATGCAAATGAAATGGTTATAAGAACTTCATTTTTTTTCATGATAGAGTTTTACCGAACGTCCTACCTTTCATTATGGAAATGAGGAAATCCGTAAATTTGCAATGCAATGAGACATAACCACAATGTATCGAAATACGTTTCATTCTTATCACTTCTAATACTAATCACAAACCAGGAAGAGTTATTACCGCAGTATTAGCGGGAAAAAATAAAAAATTATTTGGATAAATTGATGTGATAATGAACTGCAGAATTATGCAAACTATCAGTTGCCCAAGGGAAGCAAATAATAATATTAAAGACCCACCGATCTTCGCTGACCATCTCCCTCTTCATTCGCAAGAAGTAAATCTTGTGGTGATATTTCCCAAATCATCTAAAAAATAGAAATCCAATTTCTAAATTTACACAATTTTCAAAAAAGGAAAAAAAAGTTAAAAACGCGAATGTTCTGATGCAACAGTGCTGAATTTTAATATATGGCAACACGCGACATAATTCAATGGTGTCGCCAAGACTAGTCGGATAGCGCAATGTGATCACAATAACTTTATTATTGTGAGAGAAAACATGCATTCTTCGCAGCAACAACGAATTTGAGACTCATCACATTGAAAATAATTTGCGAAGTCTCGCTCAATCCAGATTGCTTCTGATATTGGCAAGTTTGTGATTTGACTTTATTAGTCTAATTTAAATGAGTTCAATTAGTCACCCAATGGATTCAATTAGTCAACAAATAACTTACTTGAATCAAATCAATCAGCCAAGTAATTGCTCCAAGCAGATGTGGCATGGTATGCGCCGCACCAATGGTTTGCATGGTGGAAGGCTTCAGCTGCACCGGATAACCTAAGGCACGGAAAAGGCGAGGCATCTAAAAAAGACATTTATTGTTCTAAGACATGTTATAATATTGAAATCAACAATCTACCTACTCAGGAATTAAGCACTAATCCCAAATTAATTTTCTCCCTGCAAATTTACCATTTCCAGAGCTTTCAGGGTGTTAAAAAAATTTTAGTATGATCGACAAATTATCTGCCTTTATCACTTAATACTACCCTTCAGCAAACAGTGAGAAGTAGAAATAAATGTTTGAGATATAAAATTCTTGTTATAATTTAAAATTTACCTCATCTTCAATCTTTCGTAATGTAAAATCCGGTGCCAGCTGTTGGAAGATGAATTCAAACATCCGCGCAAACTCAGCTTTCGTCGGGCTTTTAACAAGTTTTTCGCTAGTTTGTGGATAGTTTCCGTCACGCAAATATTGCAAAACCTGCAAGTTAAGAATTCCAAATCTCTTCAGTTTTATTTTAAAAAAAAACACATCTTTATCGCTAGGTGAATCAGTAAAGTACATCTTTCATTGATTATAGGAACATGCGTATGAAAATCTTAGAAAGAAGCTCAAATCCCAATGGTCAGACTATTAACAACCCTTACATGAAATTGTTGAACAACAGATGATGGAGTCAAGTCGCAAATTTAAGTTTTCCTACATACAATCCGTCAATCTAGAAAACAATCTTATCTGCTCTACTGACTCAGCCTTGATAACGTTTTACGTTTTGTGTTGATAACGTTTTACGACGATTTTATTTAGAGCTGGGAATCATTTTTACCTGTTCCAGTGGAAGGATAGAATACTGAGCAACTTTACGCTGCAAATCGATATTACTAGAACCATAAGAGATAAAAAAAAAGGTTGTGAACAATACTTTTTGTTGCATTTGCTGTTGGAGATGACGATCGTTGAGATTACGAGAATCCTTGACTGCGCTAGGATTTGCTAAAGATTTGAAAAATGAGCTGCTTCGCCTGTAAGTAAAAAATCCGCATTAATTATGGCAGTTCATCGGTCCTTCGTTTGCCGTTCTTGCAGCATCTTACTCTGAGATTTAGAAGTCAAAACGAAAAGCAAACTTTGATGCTGTAGATGGAACACCACTCATCGCCAAACTATATCGTTGCTCATTGTTTACACCGCTGTAAGAAGTTTTCGTTGCTTTACTTAAAAAAGAAACTGTGATTCGCAAATGGAATTAAACTAAGGACACTTGAAATTCTTTTTGAAACGAAATCATGCTTACATATAGCACGAATAAGATTGCTATCGTGGAAGAGAATGAGTCATTTGTAGAATGAATCATGAGACCAACATGGTATATACCTTCTAGAAGATCGCAGAGAAGAGTATCCTGTACGTGGTGGCCCACGTCCTCCCACAGGCGTATGAGTAATGGACGATCGCTGTGCTGAGTTCGTCACCTGAAAACAAAATCCTTAAAGGATCTCTCACTTTTCTGATCGCGGTCTTTTTCGCAGTTCTTTTCGATTTCACTTTTCTGTCTCACCAAAAGCTCAATGCTTATGCTAAATGAATATCGTTTTACGTGGTGGACGTATACAAAAGTAGCTACTCACACAATGGATTAGCAATATTCACAAACCAAAGTCTCTATTATGCCTAATCCTTGATATCATATAATCCTAAAAAAAAAAGCAAAAAGACACGAAAAAAAAATCAATACCTGCGGTATAATTGATCTCCGGTTAGGAGCGAACATCTGGAAAAACAATTTTGCAAATTCAAATCATACGAAATTACCGCATTATTTCAATGAATATTACACGTATTAAAATATTACACGTATAATTTACGTATGAAATGTGTAACGGCTCGTATTCATATAAATCCTGTGCACTCATATGAATACGCATTTACATAAATTTACGCCAGGTCAATTTACGTCCACATCCGGCTATTTATCAGACATAGACATGAAACTATACTCATAAGGAACATGACATCTAAGAATTACTCTGTATGCACATATATACTTTGTCACATACAGACATGAATAAAGTAAATTTACACATATTTCCGAACGTGTTAAGGAAGTAGGAACGTCAGCTTTTGGGAGATTGGTCAGAAAGTGGGCCTTAACTTTACAAATAATTCCCATCCCTGCTTCATTGTGCAACATAATAAATACATGACCGTATCTTATCGCGGTATTATATTGATTGAACAAATCCCCCGGTATTCCTCATTATAGCAGTAATGCCCACGTATCCCGTCATGTCTCACCTTACCGCATCACCCGCCGGATATTTGATTTCAAAAAATTGACATTGGCGCACTTATACGTCAACTACAAAATTCATTCATTCGTTGTTCGGCTTATAATCCGAAAGATTAACTTCCGGAACGTTATGCAAACACTATTTCTCATTTGCAACAGATGAAATTATGTAAGTTTCATCTACATTTTGCAACCGGATGTGTTGCTTAGTTGGCCGGATCGTACAACCGGATACGCTTGATTACACTTGTAAAGATACAGGGAAATCCAAACATTTAAGCTTAAAGGCGCATTTTTTAATATTCGATCCGTTGGTTTGTGCGATAAGTCGTTCTTTTTTTCTTTTTTTTTACAAGAGATATCGTATTATTTCCAGATGATTTTGAATGTAGTGGTTGGTTCAGTGGTTTTTCTGTTAAACTAAAATTGAGAGCAATACCTCTTTGTTTGTTCCTGAATATTCATGATCTCCATTTTCCTTATATTTCTTGTTTTATCAAGGTTTGGTTGCTCCCTATTTACGGGAGATGTTGCTGTGTTATTTCCAAACCTAATTTTCAGAAGCAGTTATTGAAGAAGGATCATATCATGGAATTGCTATATCAGGATGGAAAGTGCAGCATATCATGATGAGGTAGAAAATCAATGCTCAGTATTTAATTAGTTTCAATCATAGGTTATTCCATCAATTCCGCGGTGTTGTATCGATCAGCGAAACTATCGAAACATTCCGTTGACCAATTTATCACTGCACTTCTTTTGCGATATTCATTGAGAAATGCAGTACAAACGGGATCGGCTCCATTTGGATGGTGTCATCAAACACATGGATACTCTTGATGATTTTACAGGACGGTTCAAAGAAATGCTACCATCCGAAACGCAAGATCGGGTATATTTTCGCCTTTAGTTCCAATTTTTTTCTTTCAAAAGCAAAAAAATTATAGTTGTCTAATCTTAAAGCATCTCTTTCTACAGCATATATGCATATATCTTTGTAGTAAAACTACATTTACATTGCTACGTCCTCCAGAAATAAGCTTACTTATATTTAAGTTCTTACATTGCTTTGGTAATGTTTTAAGTATGGTATAAATCGTTTGATTGTTATTTCGCAGTGAACTTCCTAGTTTCTAAGAGTACTCCTTCTCTTATCATTGATCTCTGAAACTAATTTTGCACTTTTTACCTCTTAAATTTATGATGCCTTATAGTAATTGCAATTTATTGTTAAAACGTCATATTTGTAATATCCTTCAGATTGCAATGCTCATTTTATTCGTACTTCTACCATTTGGATTTCTGTTCGAGATATTCGCGATATTACCGATTGAACATGAAGTGATGTCGAAAGTATAATGTTAACTATCCTTTTATTTTATCAAATTCTGTTTAGTTCAAGTTTTATTTAACTCTACCTCTGGATGTATATATATGACTTGCGTTTCTAAGGAAAAGAAAAATTTCCTTTGTTTCATGTGAATTTATGTTTTCGGGTAAGATATTTACAGTGCAGTTTCCGTTTGAAAAGATTGAAGAAGCAGATGAGATCCACTAAGACACTGTTTTGTTAACATGAAATACGAATTTATACTTGCGAAACATTTACCTATTTGTACTATTTCAATGTCGAATAAATTTATCATTAGGGGATGTGTGTTGATATGTGATGTTGGAATTTAAACAGAATGGAATTTCTCCGATTTTTTTTTTCCCAGTAATAGCACATTGAGCAAATTTCAGGCCATATTTTATCTTGTGCTTTTTTTAGGGATGGAATCTAAGGGCTGGTATATTGATATTGTTAGGATTAAATGCATTTGCTAATGTGTACAAAGTTATATCAGTTGGACCAAATGGTAACTGTTCTGATTTGCCAGCGGTACAAAAGCAAGGTTATAAATTTTGTTATAACTGCCAGCTAAATGAACCTCCACGGTCGCATCACTGCCCAGGTAATTTTAGCGTATCAAATATACCTTCCTCAAACTTTTAGTCATTCTCTAGTGGTTAGAATTGTTATATAACATATGAACGTATTAGAATCATAGCTTTTAAGGATTGATTCGAAAGTTCTCAGGTTTTTGGTGTTTGGTTCTAACAATTGATTTTCTTTTTTAAATGATGTATTTTTGTATTTTAGTTTGTGACAGATGTGCATTTCGACGTGATCATCATTGTTCGTTTGTTGCCGTATGCATTGGGCATTTCAATCAGCGTTACTATATTAGTGCTATTTGCAGTTTGTGGATTATATCCTTCGTTGTGTTGATGTAAGACCATCATCATTCCTCACAAATGCCAACATAATTCGAATTTTCTATTTAGGCATTTACTTCAAGTCATTTTTCGATTTCTTTCACCATAAATGTAGTTTAGGTTTTATCCATAAACATTTCTTCTTGCTGTCCCCTTCCTTACTGTGCCAGTCATTTGTATCGTGATTACTCAGTTTATTGGTTATATCACTTTTAGCCCTTTCATACCTTATAAGTTAAAGCATGCTTCACTAAAGGTCATTTCGAGTCTTAAGTTTATGGTCAAATTAATGAATAGGTCAAAAATGAATTGCCGATGAAGTGTTCATTGTGAAGTGGATTTAGAACTGATTAGATTACTTGTTTTAGCATAAAGGAACTCCAACTGCAATGTTAACGTTGCCATTAAATGTCTTATGGTGCTTAATTAATAATTATATTGAATACTTCAGATGGAACTGGTCATTTATGTGGTCATCACTTGGTGGTTTTTCACCGTTACAACTCTGGGAATTAATAGTGCCTCACTTGGCATTAATCTTTCGTATAATCAGTTTCTCCCAGTTTTTATGTGTGATGACTTTCGTCTTCTCGTTTACTATATTCGTCTTTCTATGTTACCTGATTACAGCTCAACTTTTTTGCCTTTACCGAGGACAGACACGTGTGGAGTATCTTATGGTACATGCTTCTACTCTTTAGAATTCTTTTTCTTTTTTCATAGTGCTGAAATACCAGCATAAAAAGTTCCCACTAATGATGAAGAGCACCTGATATTTTTACAGTAGCAACTCTCTATTTCTTTGGTGGTAAATAATCTTTTGGTGGTAAAATTTGGTGGTAAAATTTTTTACCACTTTTGGTGGTAAAAAACAACTCTCTATAGAAGATATATAAAAAATTTTTTTATCAGAATTTCAGAGTTTATTTTATTGTCGAAGTATGAAGTTTATTTATTCTTCCTTTTAAAATTTTTCGTCAGTTTTGTCCAGACATTCATTATCTTAAAATGTTAATTAAATAAAAAATATTTTTTAGGATGTACATGCATATAATTTGGGATTTATGGAAAACGTGCGTCAAGCTATGGGTAGACGTTGGTTGATAGCATTGTTAGTGCCGTTCATTTCTTCACCACTTGGTTCCGATGGTCTATCATATCCAACACGTGAATCGAAGCCATTGAATGATTTGAAGACTATGTAATGGATCAAAAACAACGTTCATTTCCCTAACTTTTCTGAGAATTTTTGCAAGAAATTTGATAATAGTTAACGAGAATGTTTTGCATTTGCTTAATATCTATGAGTTCGGTGATATCTTACTTTTTTTCAAGAATTATTTAACCCAGTAAATATGCGGAGAGAGAAAGAGTTGGAAAAGGAACAGGTATGCATATTATTTTGGCTTTGGGAATAATATCTTTTTGTACATTACTGCTTTTCTCTTAGCGAAAGCCTACATTGGACTTGAAATCAGTAGAAGTTCTTGCTCGTGCTTTCAAACGCTCATTGCTTTTTAGTTTGCTTTTGATAGCTATATTTTAATGATATAAGTGATATGTAAGTGTTAGATTAGGTAAATAATAAATAAATGCTTATAACGTGAGCGGTGATCTCCGAGCGCCCTGCCATCATTTGTGAAGTGTATACTTTTTTGTGCTTTTCTGTATTTAGTTTGCTTATTCTTATTTTCATCTTAAATTTCGAGCTTTTTCTTGCATAGTTTAAATCATTTTTTACTTGTACAATAGTCATGCAGCTCTTACATTGTAAAATATAGCTAGTCGCATAATTTTTGTTTGGTGTATTCAATCCCTAATATTTTTTTTTTTTTTTTTGATAAGTTTTGTGTCTTGACGATATTTCAATTTTGCTTTATATCCTAAAACCATAAACTTTTGCCAAACTACTCGTTAATTTTCTTACAAAATCAAGTTTAATTTCAGATTTCATCAAGCCGTGTGTAAATTCATTATCTCTGGTAATCCACCTTATATATGCAATTAACGAAATAATCAACCATGAACTATCTATCATCAATGAAATGTTAAATCTGTTTGATTCATCAATCATTACATTTAGAGTATATGAGTTATTATTCTAATTTTTGTCATTTCTTCGTTCTGTCAGAAAGTCAGCAAGAGTTATCAATAACGAAAGAATTTTATCTGGCGCTAACTATTGAACCATTCCTGAATCATTCTGAAAATTAATTTTTAAAATTAAACATTTCTCATAAAATTCAGTGTTTATTTTTAAAATGCTTGAAAATTTTGCGTTCCTGTAAAAATATTTTTAATATAAATATATTTTCAACCATTTATTTTTATAGTCAGTTTCAAATTAGATTTTTAAAAAGATAATCCTTTCAAAATAGTGTTTCCATTTTATTCGTTATTTTAAAAAAGAGACCTTCCGTTGAATGCTTCATTTCCAACCAAATATCTATTGAATATATTGTTTTATTTAGTTGTTACATTTGAATATTTTTCGTAATTACATTGATTTATTTATTTTTTTAAATCAACGAATCAAATGTTCTGTAATACGAAGGAATTAATCTATCATATCAATATATTAACAAATCGAATTACAGGAAAATTCATTGCTGCTTATCGGAATTTCGCTTAACGGTTGATATTTCAGATATCTGGACAAATTTCATTTTTTAAAATAAAAATGAGAAATTTGGAAAGGAAGAAATTTTATTTTCCGTCAAATATATCTTTGATATGTTACTCAAAATCACTTTATCAATTCATTCCATAGAAAATGATAAGCGTTTCAAAAAAGTACCGATTTTTTTTTTTTTTTAACACGTAATTTCCATAATTCCATTTTATTTTAACTTGAAAAAGTTATAAAATATATTTTCGTTGGATTTTTTTTTTTGCTTTTTAATAAAACTGATAAAAAAAAGTTTTTCAAAATTTTGCAACTTTTTCCTTCCTTTCAAATTTTCACAAAAAAAAAAATACTTCAATAAAAATAACAATGACACAACAAACATTATAATTTGTTATAAAACTATCTAATTAATTACTATCATATCTTGTTATTTTTCTTTAAGGAATATTTACAAAACAAACAAACGGAAAAAATTTTAAAAAAAACAAAAAAAATGAAAAACAATAGTATGAGCCGAGAAGAGCTTGATGATCGCTTTAATCAATGTTTGAGGAAAGCAATGAATGATACGAAACAACTTGTAAAAGGTGAAATAAGCGAGGATGAATTAGGTTATTTTATCATTTTCCTCTCTTTTCGTTAGTTTTTTAAATTACTTTTTAAATTATTTTAAATTATAAATCATTTTCCTCTCTTCGTCAATTTTTTTTTTAAATTACTTTAAATTTATGCTAAAATTATATTTAAAAGTTTGAAAAAGACATTATTATAGTTTTCAAAGTTATGTTTTATTTATAAAAATTCCACAAAAAAAGACTCATTTTAGGAAGGAAATTTTATTACCATTCATTAAGTAACACTGAATTATTTCCTTTTTCTTTGTATAGTGTAATTAATGTTTGGATATGAAAGTTGATGCTTAAATTAACATTTCTTAGGCTTTAATTTGTTAAGCTATATTTTCACCACTATTTCGATAATGGATTTGGCCAAAATTAGCATTTCTTAAGCTTCAAAATTGCTCGGCTATATCTTCTTTACAACTTCAGTAATAGATTTTGCTTAAATTAGCATTTCTTAGACTCTAATTTGTTAGACTATAGCTTTTTTTGATAATAGTTTTGGTTTAAATTAGTTTTTTCCCTTCTTTTTTTTGTCCCAGAAAAGTTGTACTTTTAAATTATTTCAAGTATATTGATAAAAATTTCGTAAAATTGGTAAAATTTCTTTTTTTTTTTATTCCTGAAAATATGAATGATATACGTAGCATAAGATGGAATATTCTGATGCTTCTTAATATTGTTTTGTCAAATTTGTCTATTTTTTTTCTTTTTTTTGGAAATTCAGAATTTCAGAAAAAATTATAATATTTTATTATCTTAAATTTAATATCAAATTACCAGTTTTTGATTTCAAATTTAATTAGGTTTTCTGTTGCAAATATATGTGCTTGGTATAGGTAAACAATATGCATATAAATAGATAGATAGATAGATACATATAATTTCCATGCGATTTTTCTATACTAATATATAGTATTATATGAACTTACATATATTTTATAAGATATATAACTAAGTTATGAAATATATAATTTTAATTAATGATAATTTAAACTGTAAACTTCAATAATTAATCATTATTTGATGCTTAATAAATTAATTTTCGTCAAATTTATCCCTGAAAGATTAAAATATAAAAAGCTCAAAATTTTAGCTAAACTTTAAAACTACCAATTTATTATCCGTTATTTATGCCAAAAAAAAAAAGGAGGAAAAATAGAAATGTAAATAAATAATTAATTAAGATACTGGACAAGAATTGCAACAACAAGCTGTTAAAAGAATGATTGAAAATTTTACAAAAATATTATTAGACAATGAAAAAGTTAATTATGCTGATGTTAATATACAAATGCGCCTAAAAAATGTTCGAAGGAAGAAGAATGTTCGATTCTTCTCATATGTAATTATTTTTTGATATTAATTATTAAATTACAAATATTAATTTTATATATTTTTTAACTGTTTATTTTATTAGATATTTATTTTAAAAAAAAATTGTTTGAATTGTTGGTTTTGCTAAGGATTTGTTTAGAAAATAAGACAAATAACAAAAATTTTTTCTTTTAAAATTTCAAATTTTTCCAATTCATTTTTTTATTTTTAATTTTAAATACATGTAATATATAAACGTATCGGAGAAAACAAATGAAGGAAATGCTAATTTAAATTTTTATTGATATAATTTAACAAAGAAATAATAATCTTAATAATAATCATAAGATTAATCTTATTATATTCTTAATTTCAATCTTAATCATAATTTTAATAATTTAAATTGAAATGATGTTATTTAAATCATTTCATTGAACCCTAGCAATAATTGATTTAAATATTAGATTAGAATTATTCATCCGCATATTTGACACAAATCAAGAATGTATGTTTTGATTATTGTTAATTTAACTTTTTATAAATACTGCAAAAAAATAATTTATCGATAATAGATAAATGTACAAGTAAGTTTAAGTAAGAATGATAAGTAAGCAAAGAGGATAAGTGATAAAATGACAAAGATAATTTAATCATTAGATAATGCAAGTATATTTCAGAGATCGCAAGGGTTAGACTTACGTGGTGGTCAAATTATACGTAAATAACGTGGTGATATATTTTGAAATAAAATTTAAATGAAATTTAATATGATGCAAATGATTGCTTGTCATATACATTTTGTCACAAATGTCAAATATTCATCTTGTCACATATTTCTATGCTTTTTTGTATCGCTAAAAATGAATGGTAAAAGTTTTTGCAAAATAAAAGCATTAAATTTTTTTATCTTACATTTAATGAAACAATTCAAAAAAATAATTTTTGTAATTATCCTTCGAAGAGTGAGTTTGGGAAGAAA